GAAAAGGAAACCCTTGCAATTGTGTATGAAGTGCAGAAATTTCATCGGTACATCTATGGAAGAACAACAGACGACGAGACAGACCACAAGCCATTGCAATACATCTTAAACAAGTACTTGCATGAAGCAACACTGAGGCTGCAGAAGATGATGCTGATATTGCAGCAGTACGAGTTAAAGGTGAAATACGTTCCAGGATCTGAACTCTCTGTTGCTGATGCACTAAGCAGAGCATACTTGGGAGAGACTAAAGAAAGCCTCATCTCAGATTTGGAAGTAAATGAAGTTCAGCTTACACCTCACCTTCCCATTTCACGAAAAAGGTACTGTGCATTCAAGCAAGCTACTGCAGCTGATCCAACCCTATAAGTCTTAAGCACAGTAGTTCGTAAAGGATGGCCTTGTCACAAACAGGAGCTACCATTAGCTGTCCGCGAGTATTGGTCGTGCAGAGATGAAATTTCAGCAATTGATGGGTTCTTATTCAAAGCACAGAAGCTTATTGTTCCTCAGAGTAAGAGAAAAGAAATGTTAGAGCTCATCCACGTGTCACACGAAGGCATAGTAAAATGTAGGCAGCGTGGCCGAGACATTCTCTTTCGGCCAGGGATATCATCCCAAATAGAAGAGAAAGTGTCACAGTGTTCCTTGTGCGCTCAGTTCCAGAGAGCTCAACCAAGAGAGCCAATGATCATTCAAGACCTGCCTGACAGAATGTGGTCGAAAGTTGGAACTGACCTGTTTGAGTATAATGGAGATCATCACCTGCTGTGTGTAGATTACTATTCAAAGTGGATTGAAGTTGCTAAGCTAGACAACTTAACCAGCGGCAATATCATCTGTCACCTGAAGAGTCAATTTGTTCGGTATGGGATACCTGATGAGCTTATCAGTGACAATGGGCCTCAATATGCTAGTTCAGCATTTACTGATTTCAGCAAGAGCTATTGTTTTGTCCATACCACATCAAGTCCTCGCTTCCCTCAAACAAATGGTGAAGCAGAAAGGGCAGTTCAGACCATCAAGAATCTCCTCAAAAAAGCACAAGATCCTTACAAGGGATTGCTGAACTATAGAAACACTCCTTTGGATGGTATAACCTTTTCACCTGCTCAGCTGCTCATGGGTCGAATATTAAAAACTTCCCTACCAACAAAGGTTGATTTGCTTAAACCCCAACAATTACAAGAAATTCAGCAGCACTTTCAAAAGAGAAAGCAGAGAGAGAAGTCCTATTATGACCAACACAGTGGGAAAGAGTTACCCCCCCTTAACTCCAGGTGAGAAGGTGTCAATGCATCATGAGAATAAATGGATCCAAGCTACAGTTGTAAACAAGCATCACACACCAAGATCGTACATTGTTCGGACACCTAACGGTAACTTCTACCGAAGAAATCGACGTCATCTTCGCATGAGAGTTTCACAAGCAACGAACAAAGGGACTGATGCAAAACAGATCGCACAACCTCAGAAAGCCACTCTTCTCACTCCAACTGGTATCCAAAGCAGACCTTGTAGACCAGGAGCAAGTACAGATCATGGCCTGCCAGCAGAAATTCGTACCCGGTCAGGTCGGGTGGTTAAGCAACCCTAATACCTGAAAGACTATGAACTCTGAACTTTTATGAGCTGTTAAGTTAAAGATGTTGACCATGAATTCAGTTGCTTTCTATGATTAAGCTTTCTTTTCTTTTTTTTTTGGCATGCAGTTGTTTACAGTTTGTCACAGTAGTTTCTTTGTTGATTGCTAAAAAGAAAAAAAGGGAGATGTCATGTGTGCTATCACAAAAGTACGATAAGCATCACGGGATGCAATAAACCTGGAGGTTTTTAGATTCAATATGGCTGTCGTGTGAGACAGTACATAACAGACCTTGCACAATCTGAGGTTTGAATCCTCACGTTAGTTTACCAAGAAATTTTCCCTTCAATACCCTGCTGTTAGAACATTTTGTAGCGAGGTTGACTAAAATGAGGTTTGAATCCTCAAGGATGCCCTCCCAAATTTCTTCGTTTGCCCAGCAGGTAGAGCAGATGGCGAAGCTTTATGGTCTAAGGTTTGAATCCTTATGGTTGTTGACACAGCTGATTTTTCTTTGTGTACGACTCTTGTATCGGTCAGCAGGTAGAATACCTAACAACAACATCGGTAGATCTGAGGTTTGAATCCTCATGACAGTCTACCAGAAATTATAATTTTACACCTTTTAGGTGTAATTTCATAAAAAGATCAACAGAAAATTTTTCCTCATCTCAGCTGATAGAGCGTTTGATACCGCTATTGCAAGGTCTGAGGTTTGAATCCTCTTGAAAATTTACGAATGTCCACACAAATTTCTTCTTCTGGTAGAGCAGAAGGTGAAATTTTATGGTATAAGGTTGGAACCCTTATGGAAGTTGACTAGGTTATTTTTTTTCAAAGCTGATGGAGTGATGAGCAACTTAACCGAGAGATATTTTGCATTGATTAATTCTTGTGGTCCCTCTCAAGCTAAGCTCTGGAAGCTTCAGTCGCCATTATTGAGTTATGCAGAGATCAATTTGTCTCATTCTCTAGTTAACATGGACCGACAATGGCTTTTTTGTATTCCCTTGATTTTGAATGTCAAATGTGCCGAAGAAAGGAGAAATGCAATCCCCGCTTGACTACAGACACAGTCCTCTGGTGGTTACAGCCGACAACCGAAATGGGTCTGGCCTCCGGGTTTGAGACCTATTTAACGGCTTATTGCTCATATCAAAAACAAAAGAAAACAAAACTCAAAAACATAAAAAAAAGCGGTACGAGCTCACGCCGAGGTACCAGAGGGTAAGACCGAAGTATGGGCAATCTGCACTGCACCTCTCCTCGGGACGCGAACATAGACAAGCACTAAGTGGAACGCACGAAGCTTTCCACCCAGCTGGGATCGCTTTCTGCGGGCTGACTGCTTGAGGTTCGAATCCTCACAAGGGACTCATATTCTAAAGTTTTTCTCTTTTGCTATCCAATATATGGTACCTTTTGATTTCTGTGATCCAACTTGTCGCGTGAGAGTGAAATGTCCTTTACAGAAACACGATCCCTGAGCTGAAAAACAAGAAAGAGTGGTCTAAGGTAATGACTTGTATTTATACACCTTCAAATAAAATCAAAATCTCCTTAATTCTTCTCTTTCTGCTATAAATTACTAACAATTAATTACCAAAAATAGGGGCTCATTAAGAAATAAACATGTGAATAAATTACTAGGAATTTAAAAGAGGAGGAAATATGTCTTCTCTTGAAGCTGCATATCTTTTCTCTTTGTAGCATATCAAGTGTCATTCTTAAAGAAATTTCCTTTGATCACACAGAGAAGATTAATTATCTACAAGTTTTTCTTCGATTAGTTTTGACTTGTCTGTTCTATTTTGTTTCCTTCCTTTTTTATCATGTTAAATGTTAGGCTCGAAATGGTTCTGATCCTAATCTTCCTTCTTTTACAGAAATAGGTATGATAGACATGATAGTCCTGAAATATAATTGCAGCTTTAATTCGAAATTAAAGTAATTAATTTCCAATATCTCGCATTCAATCCTTACCTTAACAGCTAAGCTGCTCTCATTATAGGTAAAGCTCTGTTGATTGGTCCATTAAATGGCTGACAATAACTGCACCTGAAAAACCTTTTGATGGCACACTCATGAAGCAAACAAAATATAATTGTTAGTGTGAGATAAAAACAATACTTGTATGGGATTTTAAAGGCCAGCAGGTATATTATCTGACAACAACATCGGTAGATCTGAGGTTTGAATCCTCGTGAAAGTCGACCAGAAATTTTCATTTCACAAAGGTCGACCCACAATGTTTTTTCTGCTCAGTTGGTAGAGCGTGTGATACCAATATTGCACAATCTGAGGTTTGAATTCTCACGCAAGTTTACCCAGAAATTTGCCTTTTTATACACTGCTGTAAGCACTTTTTGGAGCGATGTTGACTAAAATGAGGTTTGAATCTTCACGAAAGTCCAACCAAATTTCTTTGTCTGCTCAGCTGGTAAAGCAGATAGCGAAGTTTTAAGGTATAAGGTTTGAATCCTTATTGTCGTAGACTGTATGATTTATCGCATTTACATACAGTTTATAGCGCCGCTGACAATATACATAGGCCGCAGTTCCCTACGCCGTATGCGCTGCTTGAGCGTTACTTACAGTTTTTTTTTGGCCATTTTGGCCGAGTTAGTTTAAGCGAAGGGTTTTTAGGCTGTGTAAGAAGCAATAACCTCGAATCGTCGCCGGATAGATCCTTATTTGTTATTCGTTCTTGATTATCCTTTACAAGAATGCAAGGAATCTGACGTATAGAAGTTGTTGTGTCTTATTTATTTTGCCAAGTGTAGCTGGCCCCCTCAACATTCGAAGTTAGAGTTCTCAAGTCAAGATCTGTTTATGAGTGGTTCGTTTACAGATGACCGGCAAAAGGAAGAGAAAATCAGCCAGTGGTTGGAAGGTAAAAGTTGTTTCTTAAGAATCGCACGTGACTCGACATGTCGCTGAAGAGACACCGAATAAATCGTCAGAAGTCAACGCGTTTCGGATCGGCGAGAGCGGTGGAAATTTGAATGTACCGCCATCGTTGGCCGTAGGAAACATGGATTTCATTTCTGTTAGCGAAGATCCTCAAGGTTCTATGAAGGAAACTAGGACGAAAGCACCAACCAAAATTTGAAGAAGTCAACGCTGAGAAAGATGTCCATGCTAAGCGTTAGAGAGCTGGACATTTAGGAGAGCTGCGAAAACGTCGGAGTGTTGTGCAAGATTTGTTTAAAAACCCAGGAATTAAAGCAACCGAAGAAGAAGAAAGCGTTGCCATGTATGAAGAAGCATTTCGTAACTTTGTTAGTAGCCATGACAATTACCTTCGTTATGAAGATGATGAAGAGAAAATTGCCTTGACATATGACAGTTATGACAGCCAGAGAGACATGAAGACTTACTGCTGGAGCAAGCTTTTAAGAAAGAGACAGATGGTATGAACGATTATCTTGAAGAGTATTTTTTGCAGAACAATGTGAAAGAAGGGCTATCACCACCAATGGGTGAGACAGATGCAATATCCAGCTCGGAATCGAAGCTAGTGGATAATCGGGTAATAGTATCAGATGAGCAGCTCCAAAGCAGCCAAATCCAGTCTCATTTATTGCTGTCATCTGCTAAAGTATCCGTAGGAACAGAGACAGTGGTTACCCTTTCTTCAGTAGCTCATATAGCTACAGAGGTTGGTTTGAGAAGTTCAGCTTCCATAGCACCGAGGGAATCTCACTCCTTAGTAAGCTCTTTGACTCAACACTCTCCTTACTTAACACCTGTGCCTGACACAGTTCAGCCACCCTTGTACACTATTGTGAGCTTATCACCAGCGAGTTTTCAGTCCACATCTGCTTATTACTGCGCTCCAAGAACGAAACTAACTGCAACAACAACTGAATTCTACTCAGCGTTTGTTTCACAGCAGAATCCACCTTTGCCAATACAGTACCCGTACCTCTCTCCTCAGTCCCTGATCTCAGCACAGCAGTCAGAAGCTTGGCCAACAATTGCACAAGCGATCAAGCAAGGTCCATCCTTGCCAAAAGTGGAGTTAATGCAGTTCAATGGGGTTCCGTTGTATTTTGCCAGTCGAAGATTAACTCAGTCCACGGTTTTAAACAGCTCCTTTATTGAATCATCGCTTGGAGTAGTCGCGTTCAAAATCCAGTGGTGTCTCACAGTTCTTCTGACTAGCAAGTCGTAATACAGTGAATTCCGTTTATGACGTCATCACGTTATGCGATTAGTAATAATTAATTGAAAATTGTGGCCTTAATTAGCTAGCGCAGTAGATAACATATTAAACAATACACTCCCCCATCTGAAATGAGGTATAGTAAGTATACGATTTACAAGTAAATTTAAGAGTTCAGTCACTGTTCATCAATAGGCAGTATTAATATTAGGCGCTGTACTGGTCGCTGTACACTTATATAGCCTTTTCCTTTATATTTAGTTACAGGCTCATTTGTTATGTTCTTGTATTCGACGTCTACTTTCCGGACTCTCCCATCCGTTCCTGGATATGTATTAGAAACTCTCCCGATCTTCCATTTTCCTCTTAACAAGCTCGAGTCCTGTATAAGAACGATATCTCCAGTTTTTAAGTTACGGTGGGATGTATGCCATTTTTGACGTATCAGCAAACCGGGAAAGTAATTTTGCGTCCACTTCTTCTAGTAAGAAGATATTATCGTTTGTACGAACGAAAACCGTTTTCTATTACTCGCTCGCTCGTCAAAGTTCATGCCACTTGGTATTCGTGCCGTTGCTCTACCAAGCAAAAGATCGTTTGGGCAAAGATATGCACCGTCATCAGGTGATGCAGGGTGCCTTCCTATTGGTCTTTCATTCAGCAAGTTGGCGACCTCGTAAAGTACTGTTTGTAACTCTGAGAATGTTAAGGTACTATCGCCAATAGAAGCGTTAATAGCTCGTTTTACAGATCTTATGAGAGCTTCTGTGACTCCGTTCTGCCAGGGTGCGTCTGCGGATGTAAAGATCTACTCAAATCCCTCAGTTATGCCAAAACCTTTTAGTTTGTTCCAATCCCAAGTCTTGGTCATCTTAGAAAGCTCTTTATTTGCTGCGACGAGTTGGGTACCGTTATCTGAGAATAACTTAGATGGGTAACCATGTAGTGACACGAATCGTCTGAAGACCATTAGGAATTTGTCTGTACTATAGTCTGCTGCTATATCCAAGTAAACTGCTCTTGTCCCTAGACAGTTGAATATCACTTCATACACCTTTGATGTTGTCCTTTTCTTTACTTCATCGCGAATCTTGTAAGGTCCAAACAAATCGATGCCTGTACTGCTCCATGGAGGGGCTGGTTTCAGCCTTTCAGTTGGAAGGTTGCCCATTACTTGTTCACTGACTTTTTTATCAAGTTTTCTACAAACGACGCATTTGGACTTGATTGATTGCACAAGTTTCAACAGTTTCGGGATCCAGTACCTGGTACGCACTTTGCTGGCTGTAGTTAATATCCCATGATGCCCTTTTCTGTGTATTTGCTCTGTAAATAAACGTGAGAATGGGTGATCGTATGGAAGGAGTATTACTTCTCTCTTGTTGTAGCTCATCTCCATCCATAACTCGCTTCGTCCTCTAATCACATATATACCATCTTCTCGCATCTTAGGACATAATCTTTTGTAATTCCCGTTCTCGATATCCTTCCCCATGTCTTGTTGAGATTCTCGTATCCAAAATAATTCAGCCCTTTCCAAATCATGTGGTGTGAGATCACGTGTTGCGTTTTTCAGAGATGTTTTGGGGTTTCTGTCGTAGAGTTTCAGAACTCTTGCCGTCACCCTTAAGAGCTTGTTATAATTTGAGTACTTGGTGATATCAATCCTTCCTGCAAGGGTATCCTGAAATCCTTCGATTTTTATAGCCATTGCCGTCTTGACTCGTTCTGGTAGTTGTGATTCTAAATAATTGCGAGTTATTGGTCAATCATCTTCTGGTTGTCGTAGGAATTCGGGTCCTTTCTGCCATGCGCTTTCGAGCCCGATATCGCTAGGCTTCTTCCCTCTCGTGAGACAATCAGCGATGTTGTGTTCGCTCTCTATCCAGTACCAATCTGTTTGGCTTGTTCCTTCTTGTATTTCTCCAATTCTTGTGGCAGCGAACGTGTTAAAACCGTAGGAATTTTTCTGTATCATAGCATGTACTATTTGTGAGTCAACAATGTGATAGATTTTTTGAAATTGGTATCTACATTCTTTCTCTATGAAGATCTTGAGACGTTTGTTCAATACTGCTCCACATAGTTCGATACGATCGATAGATATTTTTTTGATTGGAGCTAGGCGATTCTTAGAGATGATCAAGTTACTTTCAAATTGACCATTTTTCCGTTCCCAGCGTACATACGCGCATGCAGCGTAGGCGTCTTGAGATGCATCACTAAATATAATGAGAATAGGTTCTCCAACTGCATCCGACGGCTTCACGCATCTCATGAATCGTACTTGATCCATGTCTTTTAAATCTTTGAAGAAGGTTATCCAGTTCTCTCTATTCTCTTCAGGAATGGGATCATCCCAGTCAAGCTTCTGTTCACTTCCCCATAAGTGCCGCATTAGAATCTTCGCTCTTACAGTGAACGGTCCAGCTAGTCCGAGAGGATCATATACACTATTGATCTGTGAGAGAATCATCCTCTTCGTGAGTTGTTGAGGGGAAAATCTGTGGTTACGTTATTTGTTTGTAAAGCATATCTCTTTCTTTTTGGTGAGAACTTGATCTTGACTTCAAAACATAGCTGATCTTCACATGGATTCCATTTGATCCCAAGTATCTTTTCGGTCGACGTATGCGGTGTCTGTACCACGATCGTTTCTTCTTGCTTGTTAATATCTCCCGAGAATATCCACTCTTTAACTTGAAATCCTCCTTTAATAATAGCTTTCTCTATGTCTTGGCTAAGGTCACGGGCCAGTGCAATGTTATCTTTGCTTTCGATGATATCGTCCATGTAAGTGTTGGTTTGAATTATGTCTGCTGCTTCCGGATAATTCTTGCGCATCATCTCTGCCGTTTTCTCAAATGCTACAGTGGCGATCGTGCCGGACGGTTTATCTCCAAATGACACTCGCTGTATTATATAGGTGTCTGGTTCTCTCGTACTATCCATGTCGCGCCAAAGAAATCGGTGAGTATGTTGGTCTAACTCCGACGTTTTCACTGTGTGGTACATTTTCCTAATGTCTCCCATGAAAGCAACTCTGTTCTCTCTAAAGCGTATCAAGACGCCTAACAAGTTATTGAGCAAATCAGGACCCTTTGCCCAATACTCGTTTAATACGTGCCCCATATAGTTCGCACTGCTGTTGAAAACTATACGGACTGGAGTAGATTTCGATTCTGGTTTGAGTACTTCGTGATGAGCAATGTAATGCGTAGGGCCTGTGTAGTTTGTTAATTCTTCCTCGGATAGCTTTCTTGCCACATTTCTTGCCACCATGTCCTTTATCTGTTCGTCATACACTTTCGCGTGATCTGCGTTCTTTCTGAGTCGTCGTTCGGTAGCAGCTAATTTCGCCATCGCTACTTTGCGGTTGTTAGGAAGCTTATGGGGGTCTTTTATCCAGGGGCATTCAGCGGTCCATGAGTTGTCTTCACTGTTGAAACGTAAATTCCGCTCAATTAACTCCAGTTCCCTTTCTTCCTGTATGGTATAATCTTTGGCGCCCAAGGAGCATTTTCCGCAATTGCATCCCCCGCACTTCGGTTTGCACTGTACACCAAGTGCCTCGATAGTGTAAAAATCTTCGACATTGATTTTGCCTACAAAGTGTACTCTCGCGTTTCCAAGATTATGGGTCATGCACGTTTCTTTAAGCAGTGGGTGAGTTCCTCCAACGCATCTTCCAAAACGATTTTTCAGTAGTACAAGATTATTTTATTATTCATTATTCTGTTCCTTTTCCGGGTGAAAGGCGGCGTATTCATAACCGATCAACACATCAACTGAACCAGCGGGTCGCGCTATTTCATCCTTTGAAACGTTTCTAAATAGGTGGGCGATGCTCTCTATGTTTACATGCTCGATATCAGAAGTGATTTTGTTGATCCCATATACTTCGAATTCCACGGCTTGACCTCGCTTGTCCAAAAGTGGTAGCTTGTATTTCATTGTTTCGATTTCCTCGTTCTGCCCTCCTATCTTCACTATTGAAAGATTCACTTTGACTCCACTGAGTTTCTCTTGTTTCGCTTTGGCGTTGGTTATGAAGCAAAGTGAGGCTGCGTTGTCCCACATTACATTAGCTGTCCCCTTCCTGGTTTTTACTCTCTGTACTTGGAGAAGACATGTATCGACGTTGGAGTCGCTGCATACATTGGCGGAGGCAGAAGCTTGCTGGGGTGTACTTTCATCGTTTTCGTGAATTGATGGGTGATGTTTCCTCGTGCAGCCATTCACGCCGCAATCTCTTTTTATCCTACAAGTCCGCTGCCTGTGACCAGGCTTAAGACAAGCCCAGCATGCTTGCTTTTCTTTGAGAAAATCCCTTTTTTCGTCGACTGTCTTAGCTTGATAAAGTCGGCAATTTGACGTCCAGTGCTTACCATTCTCATGAATCAGACACTTAGGCCTAGGTTCTTTGATACTTTCGTCTTTTCCAACTGTGATACCCTCCGAGTAATGTGCTGCGCCCTTGTGATATTGGTTGCTGCTTCCTGCACGGAGTGTAGCACTTTCGTATTCAATGGCATCCCTTTGACTCTGTAGAAAGTCGAGAAGACTTGGAAATTTGTTGCTTTTATCAACAAGACTGTCACGAGAGCTTACCCGTTCGGACCATTTCCGTTTGATATCTGACGGGAGTGCTTTCTCAATTACGCTGACTGAACTTGTGGTCGTGATCTCTGTTTCCAAGCCGAGTCCTTTTAGGTTACGATAACCATCCTCTATGAGGGTTACAAATTCTATAAAGCGTTTATCTTCTCCTTCTCTGAGCATTCTAAATCGCTTTATTTCGTCAATGATGACATCGGCAACTTTGGCTGGGTCTCCATATTTGTCGTCTAAACGATGCCACATCTCGTCTATGTCGTCGTCTACGCAGTTCACCAATCTCGCTGGCTTCCCCTTAAGACAGGTGCGTAGGACGTACGCTGCGTCACCTTTTCGGATTTGAGTCATAACTTGTTTCTGGAAATCTCTTTTAAATTGCGGATACTTGCGTAGTTCTCCGTCAAAGTGAGGCATTCGTACTTTTTCTAGTTGTAGAAAGGAAGCTGAGGCGGTAGACTCCCGCTTTGTTTCTTTAGCTTCTTCCACATTAGTGTAGCTTAGCGCTATTTTCTCCTTTATTTCATGATAACAGGTTTGGATTGTAGCGATCCAATTTATTTCAGCTTCTGCTGAGTCTTGAGTTAATAATTGTAGTAGTTCTGCGTTTGATCGTTTGCATTCCAAAAATTCTTCTTCAATTTGCAATTGTAAATCTCTCAATGCAAAATTGGGAATTTCTTTAGATTGCAGCGCGTGCGAGATACTTTTGTATGAAGCTTCGAAAACTGCGCGCGCTGTTTTCTGTCTTGTTCGTGCTTTATCAATGTATTCTTGACGCTCCGCGTACGCACGTGTTGATCTTTCTTTCACAGTGATTTGTTCCACATATTTGATTTTGCGATTGGTCGCCTCATTAAACTTCTCTTGGACTTCCGTCATCCACACTTCTGCTTCTTCAGACTGATCGTCTGGCAATAGCTCGATGTAGGCTTCATGTTTGCCTTCGAGTTCATCGTACGCTTCCGCGAGTTTCGCATAGTTTGTTTCAACTATTTCTACGCCTTGGTTGTTGTCTATCGACTTGGTGAGGAAGTTCTTCTTTCTTGTGAATCTTCCTTTAGCTGTTGTACGCTTGCCTTTAGCCTTCTCGATTTCGGCTGCGTTTTCCATCTTCGCTTATCCAGTTGTCGCTTTGTAGCAGACCACCGTGGATTTTGAATATTTTGCCAGTCGAAGATTAACTCAGTCCACGGTTTTAAACAGCTCCTTTATTGAATCATCGCTTGGAGTAGTCGCGTTCAAAATCCAGTGGTGTCTCACAGTTCTTCTGACTAGCAAGTCGTAATACAGTGAATTCCGTTTATGACGTCATCACGTTATGCGATTAGTAATAATTAATTGAAAATTGTGGCCTTAATTAGCTAGCGCAGTAGATAACATATTAAACAATACACGTTGGAATATGCGGAGTTTGTCACGAACTTTAGAGATAACATTGAGATCAAGTAGCTGATGAGTCTCAAGGACTTACGCGATTACTTGCACAGTGTGTAGGAAAAAGTAAGGATGCAATAAGGATACGTAAATCTCCCTGTAGGATGCAGATACTCAGAGGCATGGAACACCCTCCGCGACAACTTTGGTCGGCCTCATATGGTACTCGAAGCCCATATGAAGAAATTAAGAGAAATACTGGTGCGTAAAGCTGACGCGTCGACACTTGTGGATTTTTGTGAGGCAGTTGGAGGATGCGAGAAGAGTCTTAGTGAGCATGGGTTGCAACTATTCAAGTGGCTTAGACAATGAAGATGTGATAATTATGCTAGTGAGAAAGCTTTCCGAAGAAGGTCTTAAAAGGAAGTGGGTCGATAGAGCAGGAGATCTTATCAAGAACAAAAGTCGAGCTGAGTATTCGGATTTTGTCAGTTTCGTTGGAAAGGCATCAGAGCGTATTAACAATAGATATGGACAAGAACTTAAGTCTTCTCCAAGTGCTGAGAGAGAAAAGAAGGAGTCCGGCAAAGGAAAGACAGATTACCCACTTAAATTCACAACGCTTGCTACCCACTGTGAAGAAGATCAGCCGGGCACCGCCGTGCTTAACAGAGTTCCACTTAAGTGTCCACAGTGTTCGGGACTGCATGGAGTCTGGAGATGTCGGATATTTAGAATTTCCTCTTTAAGAGACCGTTTAAAGACTGTGAGACAACACCGACTTTGCAGAGCGCGTCTCTCAGAGGGACACAATGCGAAACAGTGTCCCAGAGGATTCGCCTGCGCAAGGCCAGGGTGTGGTAAAGACCATCATTATCTAATCCATTCCAGTGAAGCCGACGGAAACAGGTGTGGCATTCAGACTAACGGCTGTGATACGTTTCGAAGCACTGAGACCAATGGTGCTGCAAAATGAACTGTCGTAGATATCCGCGGCGCTCCGGGGTCAATAGCTGCTAAGATTGGTTTAGATAGTCCTCCGAGAGTGTGTAACAATTATACAACTCCATCTAGTGAGCCTGTTACTGTGGGCGTGGTACGGACTAGTCGACCCTGAGTGTGGTTTAAGGTTGTTCCAGTTAAAATTAGTAGTCACAATGGTGGCAAAGAGATAGTTACTTACGCGGTCTTAGACAGTGGGTCAGATGCTAGTGTCTACCTCAAGAGCCTGGTGCGTGCGTTACATTTGAAAAACATTAAGCCGACTAGTTTTACGATAGCGACAGTCAATTGTGAAGATCAAAAGACCGGCCATAAGGTTCAACTGAACGTCAAGTCCCTTGAAGGAGATGCAGAGTTCAAACTTAGCCGTTTGTTAACCATAAAGAGTCTTCCTGTTAAGCCAAGGCATATGGCTACCAACGAAGAAATAAGGAAGTGGCCTCACCTTGATGACATTAGTCTACCCGAAACATGAGATAAAAGGGTAACGATCCTGATAGGCAGCGATCATCCACAAATTATCGACTTACAGTTAGCCAAGAGGGAAGGAGAATGCGGTCAACTCTCGGCCGTCAGAACCCCCTTTGGGCGGACTGTCTTTAGGCCCATTAGAGAAATTGCAGATGAGCAAGTGCACGTAAACATAATTAACACTGAGCGTGAAGTTTTTAATGCACAACTGGAGCGTATGTACAATGAAGAATTTGGCGACACAAACGAAACTTTAGAAGGCATGTCGGTTAAGGACCGTAAAGCCGAAGAAATCATGGATCAGTCAGCAACCCTAGTAAATGGGCATTATCAAATTCGACTTCCATTTCGAGAGGATGTACCGAACCTTCCAGACAGTTTATGGACTGCAGCAAGAAGATTAAAATGGTTCGAACGGAAGATGCAGAGAGACCCAGTCTTCCATCGCAAGTACAGCTGTGTTGTTGAAAAATACAGAACTGAAGGATGCTCAAGACAAATACCCGACGAAGAGGTAGCTGAGCTCAATCCAATTTTGTAGCTTTCTCATCACGCAATATGGCATCCCCGAAAACCAGGAGAACCAAGAGTAGTCTTCGATTGTGCCTCTAAGAGTGGTGGGACATCGTTGAACGAGCAATTACTACAGAGACCAGAAAATACCAGCACCTTAATAGGAGTAATATTCCAATTCAGAATAGACGACGTTGCAGTCATGGCAAACATCAAGAGAATGTTTCACCAGGTGTTCGTAGTACCACAGGACCGTGGAGAATTTTGTTATTTGTGGTGGCCGAGTGGCGAATTATCAAGAAAGCCGAAGACTTACCAGATGCTTGTGCACATCTTTTGAGCTAAGTCTTCACGAGTGTGGCTGGATATGCCCTTAGAAAAACGGCCAAAGACAATCAGCGGGATTTCCCACCAGAAGTTGTCGAAGCCGTATTTAAGGACTTCTATGCAGACGACTTACTCAAATCGTTTTCCACCGAGAAGCATGCGATAAACATTAGGAGAAAGTAAAAAGAAATGTTTGCTAGAGGAGGCTTCCAACTCACAAAATGGATTTCAAACCGTCATAATGTCTTGTCAGCATTTCCAGTGGAAGAAAGAGCTCCTCACATTAAGGATCTAAATTTGAAATCCGACAACATGCCTCTGGATAGAGTCTTAGGAATCCATTGGGATGTTAAACGTGATACGATCGACTTCGTTTTTTAGTGAGCGAGAATAGCCAGAGAATCGCAAAGAAGCACTGTCCTCGATTGCGACTGTATACCATCCACTTGGATTTGTTAGTCCCTTCCTCCTACCTGGAAGAGAAATCAATCAAGAACTGTACAAATATAAGTTAAGTTGGGACGACAATCTCCCAGAAGAAATCCGTCTCCGTAGGAGAAAGTGGAGAGAAGGCCGTATGAGTTTGTAGGGATTCAGGATTCCAAGATGTTTCAAGCCATAAGGCTTTGGTATAGTTGCGTGGGCAGAGCTTTTACCGATGTGTCGCAAGAGCATGGTTATGGAACAGCCTCATATCTGTCGCATTATTTATGATCAAGGAAAGATACATTACAGTTTCGTCATGGGTAAATCGCACTTGAGACCATTCAAGAACGCAGTCACCGTGCCGAGGTTAGAATTAACCGCAGCCACCTTAGCAACCCTTGTCATGTATGCTACCACGAAAGTACGATAAGCATCATGGGATGCAATAAACCACGCGGTTTTAGATTCAATATGGCTGTCGTGTGATACGGTACATAACATGGTATCAGAAGTGAGATTTGAATCCCTCCAAAACACAAAGTTAACACGGTGCTAAATGACAACAGTGATTCGCTACACTCTTCATCAGACAAAAGAGACGACATGGAAGGAAACTCTGCTCCAAAGATGGATTGGACGAGCAAAGATCTGCCAACTGCGTGTAAAGCATTCAGACAGCATTGCGAGTTCACGTTTGGAGGACCTCTAAAGCGTAAAAGTGAAGAAGAGAAGTGCAATTATTTGATGATTTGGGTAGGAGACAAAGGTCGTGACATATACAATACGTGGGAACTGACTGCAGATGAAGTGAAGAAACTCGAGACGTATTACACAAGATTTGAAACCTATGTGAAGCCCAGATCGAACAAGGTGTTTGCCAGGTATAAATTTCATTTGAGAGCGCAACAAGCCGGTGAGTCATTTGAACAGTTTTTTACTGAGTTGAAGCTATTAGCTAAAGATTGTGGTTATGCTGACCCTGATGAAATGGTTCGAGACCGAGTTGTGATCGGCTGCCATTCTTCAAAAGCACGAGAAAAACTCATTCACGAAGGCTCAGACCTGACCCTAGAAAAATATCACAAGCTCAGTTGCAAACCATGGCAACAGAAAATGCAAGCATAAATAGTGTGAAGAGAAAGAAACAAATAACCCCTGTTAAAAAGAAGCTTGGAAAAGATTGTGGTAGGTAGATTTGGCTATCAACACGACAAAGGCAAATGCCCAGCTCAAGGAGAGAAGTGCTCAAAATGTCACAAGTTGAACCATTTTGCCAGTTGCTGCCAGTGGAAAACCCCAGCTAAGAAAGGAGTGAACTGTGTAGATGAATGCAGTAATGATGAGTTCTTTATTGGGTGCATCACCTCAGTTAATTCTGTTGACACAAGTGAATGGTGTGAAAACCATAAGAGAGAAGACAAAGTTGTAAAGGTCCAACTAGATACTGGTGCTAAAGTCAATGTCATCTCTGCTAAAGTTCTGCAAGACTTTGCTACTCGCTACCCCTTCGAGAAGACTCAAGTCAAACTGAAATCCTATTCAGGCCATCAGATTCCTACCAAAGGAGTAGTGACATTACCTTGTGAATGTAAAGGCAACACTTTTCAAGTAAATTTCCATGTAGTTGAAATGGAAGCTCCAACCGTACTTGGTGCCCAAACTTGCAAAGACCTTGATCTTCTTGTCCGAGTGCATCTACTTCAGCAACAGAGTCTCTCAACGTGTCCTGAGGAAATGGCTCAAAAGATGTATGAGCAATACTCAGATCTATTTCTAGGTTGCCTTCCAGGTGAACACGCCTGGTACAGTGCCTGTTTCCCTCAAAGAGAAATCAAAGAAGAGCTTGATCGGATGAAGAAGACAGAAGTAGTAGTTAAGCAGAAAGAGCCTACTGACTGGGTGAATGGCATGGTAGCAGTCGTAAAACCCAACAAGCTTCGCATATGCATTGACCCGCGAGATTTAAATGAAGCAATCAGGAGGGAACACCTTCCAATGACTACTATAGAAGAAGTTGTTGCTGATATGCCTCAAGCAAAAGTGTTTTCAGTCCGTGATGCCACCTCAGGATATTGGCAAGTAAAATTAGATGAAGCTAGCTCAAAGCTAGTAGTTAATACACCATTTGGAAGATACCAGTTCACAAGGTTACCTTTTGGAATACTATCAGCTCCTGAAGTGTTTCAGAATCACACGTCATAACTGTTTGCAGATATGGAAGGTGTAAAAGTGATTGTTGACGACCTCCTAATATGGGGTAAGGATGATGAAGAACATGATACAAGACTGAAACAAGTGTTCACAAGAGCAAGAGAAGTCAATCTCAAGTTCAATGCAAAGAAATGCAAAATTGAGCAAGAAGAAGTTCCCTATGTTGGCCATGTCCTAAGTAAAGATGGTTTAAAACCAGATCCATAAAAGATAAGGGCTGTAAAAGAAATGAAACCCCCCGAGAATGCTAAGGAACTGAAAACATTCCTCGGATCTATCCAGTATATGGGAAAGTTCGTGCCAAACATGGCCACTGAAAGTGCACCATTTAGAGAATTATAAGAAAAGAATGTTGCATGGCACTGGGATCACCGGCAAGAAGAAAGCTTTCAGAAGCTAAAGCAGATGGTCTCCTCAACACCAATCCTTGGTTACTATGATCCAAGTAAGCTATTTTGCCTCTCTGTAGATGCAAGTTCAAAGGGGCTTGCAAGATGAGAAGCCCCCAGCCTATGCATCAAGAGCCCTCACGCCAACCCAGCAGCGGTATGCACAAATAGAAAAGGAAACCCTTGCAATTGTGTACGGAGTGCAGAAATTTCACCAGTACATCTATGGAAGAACAACAGACGTCGAGACAGACCACAAACCATCGCAATACATCTTAAACAAGCCCTTGCATGAAGTACCACTGAGGCTGCAGAAGATGATGCTGATATTGCAGCGGTACGAGTTAAAGGTGAAATACGTACCAGGATCTGAACTCTCTGTTGCTGATGCACTAAGCAGAGCATACTTGGAAGAGACTAAAGAAAGCCTCATCCCAGATTTGGAAGTACATGAAGTTCAGCGTACAGCTCACCTCCCCATTTCACACGAAAGGTACTGTGAATTCCAGCAAGCTTCTGCAGCTGATCCAACCCTGCAAGTCTTAAGCACAGTAATTCGTAATGGATGGCCTTGTCACAAACAGGAGCTACCATTAGCTGTCCGCGAGTATTGGTCGTGCAGAGATGAAATTTCAGCAATTGATGGGTTGTTATTCAAGGCACAGAAGCTTATTTTTCTTCAGTGTAAGAGAAAAGAAATGTTACAGCTCATCCACGAGTCACACCAAGGCATAGTAAAATGTAAGCAGCGTGGCCGAGACATTCTCTTTCGGCCAGGGATATCATCCCAAATTGAAGAGAAAGTGTCACAGTGTTCCTTGTGCGCTCAGTTCCAGAGAGCTCAACCAAGAGAGGCAATGATCATTCAAGACTTCCCTGACAGGTTCCAAACCTCGATATTTTATTACAATAAATAACGGATGAAAGTTATGACAAAATCCATGGATATGGATCGGAGATTCGAAATCTGTAAAGTAATGCGTTAACAAATTAGTTTCAGTTCATATCGATAATATCAAAAGAAATCAAGGTAAATATTTACCCATTGGTTCTAGGTGTCCATAACACTGTCTAGCGATAGAAAATCTTAACAATTCTATCTGTTACGTCATCAAATTATAATGCGCAAAGAAATTAGAATTTTGCGCAATACACTCCCCGCCGGCAATTACAGACTGTTTAAAGTTTTCTGTAAAAATCGTTTCAGAATTACACATAATAGTTCAGAAAAATGTTTTTAGATAGTTCATTTGTCTTCTGATGCAGGTAGGATAGTTATCAGCTTGTTAACTGGTCGTTCGATAGTTGTAAAGCCTTTCCCTTTGTATTCGGTCACTTTTTCGCCAGGCTTGGGATTTTTATATTCGACGAGGGCTCGTCTGACCTTCCCATCTTCCCGTTTGTAAACTTTTGATATTTTCCCAAGTTTCCATTGTCCTCTTTTCGCGTTAGAATCTTGGATAAGAACAATGTCATCAATTTCAAGGTTTCTCTGGGCCGTGTGCCATTTTTGTTGGACTAATAAGCTTGGAAAGTAGTCTCGAGTCCATTTCCGCCAAAATGAGTCAGTTAGTTGTTGTACAAGTTCAAAGCGCTGTTTGATGTTGGACGGCTCTTTGAAAGGTCCACTTGGTACTCTTGATGTTGCTCTACCAAGGAGGAGGTCATTGGGACAAAGATAGGTATCATCTGTTGATGTAGGATGTCGGCCGATTGGTCGTTCATTTACAAGATTTGCTGCTTCGTAACAAATGGTTTGTAACTCGGAGAAGGTTAGAACGCTTTCACCAATAGCTAATGTGATTGCTTTTTTCACGGATTTAATAAGTGCTTCCGATACACCGTTTTGCCAGGGGGCATCTGCTGATGAGAACTTCCATTCAAATCCTTCCATTACTCCGAACTCTAATAGCTGTTTCTTATCTAAGTCGTTGATGACTTTCTTTAGCTCGGCGCTTGCTGCTACTAATTGGCTGCCATTGTCAGAATACAATTTGGAAGGGTATCCTCTGATCGATACAAATCTTCTTAGTACCATTAAGAATTTGTCAGTACTGTAATCAGGAGCTATGTCGATATGGACAGCTCTGATTCCCATGCAGTTGAACAGTACTCCATATCCCTTTCCAAATGTTCTTTTCTTGACTTCGTCTTTAATCTTGAAGGGTCCGAAATAATCAATCGCAGTGGAATTCCACGGGGGTGCGGGTTTCAGCCTCTCTATTGGGAGTTTTCCCATAATTTGTTCTTCTGGTTTTCTTTCAAGCTTTCTACAGATAATGCAGTTGTATTTGATGGATTTGGTTAGTTTCAACAACTTCGTGATCCAAAATCTTGATCTCACCTTGCTGGCCGTCGCGAGGAACCCGAGATGGCCTCTTCTGTGAATATGCTCAGCATAAAGGCATGAGAGGCGATGTTGATATGGCAGAAGTATTACCTCGGTTTTGTTATAACTCATCTCGATCCATCTCTCACCGCGGCCACCTACGATGTATATGCCATCATCACGTCTCCTTGGACAAAGTCGTTTGTATTTCCCTTTATCTATGTCACGTTGCATTGATTTTTGAGCTTCATGAATCCAAAATGTTTCTGCCTTCGAGATATCATATGGTGTGAGCGGTCTTGAGGCATTTTTAAATGTCATCTTGTGTGTCTTATTATACATTTCTAGAATTCGAGCGGTTGTATGGATAAGCTTATTGTAGGTTGAGAACCTATCAATGTTTATTCGTTTTGCGATTGAATCGTTTACAGCTTCATCTGGTTTGGTATGTGTGATTACGTTTGCATGCTGTTGTGTATAAGTACGTGTGATTGGCCATGCAGATTCAGGTAGCTTCAGGAAATCCGGTCCTTTTTGCCACAAAGTGTACATGCCAATTTCATTTGACTTCTTTCCGCAGATCAGCCAGTCGGCGATGTTATTTTTGCTCTCTGTCCAATACCAGTTTTCGGGATCTGTATTTTCTTGGATTTCTCCCACCCGAACGGCTGCGAATGTGTTGTAACCATAGTTCTCCTTCTGGATCATTTAGACAATCTGCGAGTCTACAATATACATGATTCTTTCAAACTTGTATCTACAGTGGGATATTATAGTTGTTTTCAATCTGCTGCTTAGTACAGCTCCGCAAAGTTCGATACGATCGATGGATATTTTCTTTACAGGTGTTAAGCAGTTTTTAGATATGATGAGATGACTATCAAATTCTCCTGTTGTCAGTTTCCATCTAGCATATGCGCATGCACCATACGCGTTTGTCGACCCGTCAGAGAAAATGATGAGGATAGGATTTCCTACGGTATTAGGAGCTTTCAGGCATCTTCTTATTTTCACTTCATTCATTCCTGGCAGATCATCGAAGAAAATCATCCAGTCTTTCGTGTGATCTGATGGTATAGGATCATCCCAGTCGAGGGTGAGGTCACTTATCCATAGTTGTCTCATGAGGATCTTAGCTTTGACAGTAACTGGTCCTGCTAGTCCGAGTGGATCGTATATGCTGTTCACTTGTGACA